GGTGGCCCCGCATTGCAGCTGTGTCGCTAGGCGGACCGTCAGGCGTGTGAGTGGGACGGTTGTTGTGCCGCCCGGCATCTGCCATCCGACCCGCTTTAGGATCATAGCCATCGCCTGAGTGCTGTTGGGGGTGCTTGGAGCCGCCATATCCCCCACCGTTGGCCTCTCTGGCTGCTGCTGTTGGGGTTGCTGCTCATGCGGCTGCGTCTGTAGCTGTTGCTGCGGCTGTTGCTGCTGTTGCGGCTGCGGCTGATGCTGTGTCTGTAGCTGTGGTTGTGTTTGCAGCTGTTGTGGCTGTACCTGCGGCTGTGGCTGCGGCTGAGGCTGCGGCTGTAGCTGCGGCTGTGGCTGCGGCTGTGGCTGCGGCTGTGGCTGCGGCTGTGGCTGCGGCTGTGGCTGCGGCTGTGGCTGCGGCTGTGGCTGCGGCTGCGGCTGTGGCTGCGGCTGTGGCTGCGGCTGCGGCTGTGGCTGCAGCTGTGGCTGCAGCTGTGCCTGCGGCTGGGGTTGCTGTTGCTGTTGGGTTTCCACTGCTCTTGCAGCTTCGAGCCAGGCCGGGTTGATAGCGCCATGTAGCGTCTTAAGGGCTGCCAGGGTCGCTGACCTGTCCCGCGTGGGTGCTGGGGTTGATGGGTCGAGGTGTGTCCTGACCCATTCGGGCCAGGTCGACCTGGGGAGGGAGGCCACTCGAGTATGCACCACTAGGTCCCAGACCCGCACTCTCCAGCACCCTACAACCTCGGAGCGGCACTAGGGAAGAAGTATGTATGTATGTATGTATGTATGTATGTATGTATGTATGTATGTATGTATGTATGTATGTATGTATGTATGTATGTATGTATGTATGTATGTATGTATGTATGTATGTATGTATGTATGTATGTATGTATGTATGTATGTATGTATGTATGTATGTATGTATGTATGTATGTATGTATGTATGTATGTATGTATGTATGTATGTATGTATGTGTGTCGGGGTGCTCCACCGCTGTCATGTTGGTGGATAAACCTGTCCCGCCTGGCCCTGTCCTGTATCCCATGTTGCTTCGCTTTGTGTTGTGTTGTGTTGTGTTGTGTTGTGTTGTGTTGTGTTGTGTTGTGTTGTGTTGTGTTGTGTTGTGTTGTGTTGTGTTGTGTTGTGTTGTGTTGTGTTGTGTTGTGTTGTGTTGTGTTGTGTTGTGTTGTGTTGTGTTGTGTTGTGTTGTGTTGTGTTGTGTTGTGTTGTGTTGTGTTGTGTTGTGTTGTGTTGTGTTGTGTTGTGTTGTGTTGTGTTGTGTTGTGTTGTGTTGTGTTGTGGGGTTCAGGAGATGGCCGACAGCCCCCCCTCGTTCCCGGGGCGGCTGGCTGGTTCCGGAGCACTGCTGGGTCACGAGGCCAACACCGCCATCACCCGGTCCCGAAGCGAGGGGCAGCTGTGCCGCCTGGTGGGCCTTATCGGGGAGCTTGAGGAGGAGCAGGAGCCAGTAGACGGGGAGCGGGGCTTGTTGCGGGTGAAGGTAAGAAAGGGGCGGGGACGAGGAGGCGAGGGGGCTCACTGATGATTCGACACGACATGCATACATACATGCATAAATACATACAGATTTGGGTCACATCTGCTGTAATATTGCAACCTATGGAGGGAGGGGGCTGTTACGTCCCCCCTTCCGCGCCCCTGATATTGCCCCGCCCGCCCGCCCGCCCGCCCTGGCAACTGACGCAGTCACACCACGCGGCCCACAGCGGCCCCGGAAAGAGGCCCTCGCGACGCGGCTGTGAAGACGGCGGTGCTGAAGCTTGCGACCGATCAGCCCCACACCGCCACCACCACCAGCGGGCAGTCGAAGACGCGGCAGTGGCAACGGTGGGGGTGGAGGTGCCGGCACCTAGGGCGATGCCGACTATGCCAACGCGAAAGAGACTTCGGGGAGAGGAGGAGGGGGATGGGATTCGGGCGGAAGGTCTGCAGGAGGCGCACACGAAACAGGCGCCGTACTCTCAGCAGGCAGCTCATGCACACACTACCACAGATCCACAGTTGCCGTATCTGCCGTACAGACCTCCCGGGGCAGGCCATGTTGACGGAGTGTGTGGGGAGGAGGTGCTGCGGGTGGTGCGGGGCCCCTCCCCACTGCGGCCACAATCGCCCGGGAAACTGAAAGAGGACAAGGACACGGAGGTGGCGGAGGAGGTGGCCAATGCATGTGCATGTGTGTGTGCAGGTGACGGGGGCCCCAGGGGGGCTTGAGGGGCTCCCACGGTTACCTCGTGAATTTCCACGAG